AAATTGTAAATGCAGTATGATAGAGCTAAATAATATATAATTCTTGAATAATTATTTGTACAAATAATTACCTTATTGCTATTTTTGTAAAAAATTTTATAAATTATTATTATATTTTAAAAATAAGGTAAGTGATATTCTATTAATATTATTATATTTGTTTATTTAATTGATATTCAATTTATAACAAAATTATTTTTCTTATTTTAAATAAGAAAAAATATATTAATAAAAAATATATTAATAAATATGTAATATGAAAATTTTTAAAAAATTTTATTATATAAAAATATGTATATTTTTAAAGATTATTATTTTAAATATATCAATACTATATTTCTTTATATTCACTTTTAAAACTTTAAAATTAAAAAATAAAAACATACATAGCTTCTTATAAAAATTTTATTGCTTAGTAACAATCGTATTAAATCATAATAAGAAGACAATTGAGATAAATTGAGACAAGGTAATCAACTATTAATTGAACTGCGTCTGTCTTGACTATAATATAATTTATTTTTTATTTGTAAAGCGTAGTTCATAATTGAAATACATAAATATGTTGATGAATATATCAAATAAATTTGTATAGAAATTTAAAATTTATAATAAATGATCTGTATAATAAATAATTATTAATCTACAAAATAAATATTAAATATTTGTTAAATTATTAATTATTTAATAACCAAGAGTTTAATAAATACTATAATATATCTTGCAATCTTATTGGTGATTTTATACATTGTTTGATATACTTAACCAATGATATGTTTTAATGTGCATTACTAACACAAATTCAATGACTATTAAGAATAAGCGATCGCCGCGAAACTACAGGCTCATATAATCCTTACTCTTCGATAGAACTGAATCCAAGTCGTCTACTAAAAGTGAATGAGGAATTAATTGTCTTTTAAAATGCCTAATATTATAAATGATATTAAATTAGATTTTAAAGATGTTTTATTACGTCCAAAAAGAAGTACGTTAAAAAGTAGATCTGATGTAAGTAATATTTATATAAAGTTTATAAAAATTTATGGAAATCTATATTTTTGTTTCATCTCTTTTTTTATAAAATTTAGTTATGTTTCATACATAATCAATATAAAATTATAAAAATATGTATTTTTAATAAATTTAGCTTATTAAAAAACAATTTTTTTTTCTATATTTATATAAAAGAAATATTGAGAGCAAAATATTGTATTTTTTAATATGAACATAAGAATCTCATTTTTCTTATTTTTTAAAATAATTTTTATATTAAAAACTTCTTATTTAATAGATAACAGTTTATAAAAAGTACATTTATAATTTATAATTTACTAATTAATCATATGCATTTATATATTTTATTTCTTATAAACATTAATTAAGAAATTTTTTTATTTAATATTAATGATGAAAATATGCTAAATTTTAGGTCGATTTATTTACGGAAATCACATTTCGTAATTCAAAACAAATTTACAAGGGAATACCAATAATTGCTTCAAATATGGATACAGTAGGAACATTTGAAATGGCTAAAGCTTTAGCAAAGGTATATTTTACGTTTATTTTAATTTTATTATAATAAAAATTGATACTTATAATAAAATTATATATAATTATATATATTATATATATAAAAAAATATTATAAATTATAAATAAATAAATGATTCAAATAGCTAAAAAATATTAATTATCATATTATTAAATTATTATATTTTAGTATGGTCTCTTTACTACTATTCATAAATATTATTCAGTAGAAGAATGGAAAAATTTTGCTGCTGAAAATCCTAAAGACCTTAAATATGTAGCTGCTAGTTCTGGTACAGGAAAGGAAGACTTTGAACGGTTGTCAAATGTACTAACATCTGTACCAGAATTATCTTTTATCTGTTTAGATGTTGCTAATGGTTATTCTCAACATTTTGTTGAATATGTTAGAAAAGTAAGAGCAGAGTTTCCTAATCATACAATTATTGTAAGTAATTATATTATCATATTATAATTTTGTAGAAAAAAACAAAAATATTACTTATTGAATTATTATCTTTAATATTAATCTTTGATTATTTAATCTTTTTGTATTTAAAAATAAAAATTATTACTATTGCAGGCAGGAAATGTAGTTACTGGTGAAATGGTAGAAGAATTAATATTATCTGGAGCAGATATAATAAAAGTTGGAATTGGTCCTGGATCTGTATGCACTACACGAATGAAGACTGGTGTAGGATATCCACAATTAAGTGCTGTAATTGAATGTGCAGATGCAGCTCATGGTTTAAAAGGACACATTATTTCTGTAAATAATAATATATTGTTTTTGTACATATATTAATCTTTTTTTTTTTTTTTTAAATTGTATATAACTTATTAAGAAATATATTTTGTAGGATGGTGGTTGTACTTGTCCAGGTGATATAGCAAAAGCTTTTGGTGCTGGAGCAGATTTTGTAATGGCAGGTGGTATGTTTGCTGGTCATGAGGAATGTGGAGGTGATACTATAGAAAAAAATGGAAAAAAATATAAGCTTTTTTATGGTATGGCTTCAAGCACAGCAATGAAGAAGCATGCTGGTGTTGCTGAATATAGGTTAATAAATAACACAAATAATATAAAACTATATTTTGAAAAATGAATTATATACTTTTGATTTTTTTACGTTTTCTCTTTTGGATTTTTTTAGATCATCAGAAGGCAAAACTGTAGAAGTGCCTTACAAAGGTCCAGTAGAAAGTACTGTATTGGATATATTGGGTGGTTTGCGATCAGCATGCACATACACAGGAGCTGAACGATTACGTGAACTACCACGACGTGCTACATTTATACGTTGTACACAACAGTTAAATCCAATGTATGGTCCACCACCAGAAATCTGAAGTTATTCGAATTAATTTATTGTAGTACACATTTAGGATAACATTATTATTGAGTCAATTAACAAATGCTATTATTTGCTGGCAAATAATGTTTATATAAAAATTCAAAAGCTTCAACTAATGTAAGTGTACATACATTTTAATGGCAATTTTAAATTGCATTGAATTGAATGAATTTAAAAGATATAACGTTTAATGGCACAAATATGTACCTTATTTATATATATATGTATATATACATATATGTATATATATACATATATTTTTTATGAATATTTCATTCTTAATTATATATTATATACATACGCGTATATTATACGAATTCAATAGAAATGATATCAATATTAGAATGAAATATTCACAAATATATTTTTTAAAATGTTTCTGTAAAGTCAGCAAGATCGTGTGTTTGATACACATATATATATATATATATATATATACATAGCTTTTATTAAGTTAATTACATATGTACATATGTATAAAGTAAATTTACAATGCATGGATATAGTATAAATTGTTTTAAATATATATATATGATAATACATATATTTCTAAACAAAACGCTCATAAAAATATTAAAAGTTGAAATTCTTAAATGATTAATTGGCAATTATTTTATGTATAATAAATAATTAAATCTTAGAACATATTTTTTATTAAGAATCTGTTTTCCTTTCTGTCAAAAATTAATTTTACAAACCTGTTACAAACCAATTTGCGTTCCTTTAAAATTTAACATTTGCATATATTTCAAATATCCATTAGTTGAATTTCTTGATCAGAAAGATTGAAAAATGATTATCTTCATTCCTGAAACATTTTCATTATTTTTATGTATGTTTATAATTGCAAAAATATAATAAATAAAACTTAAAAAGAATTTATATACCTTGTATTAATAAGTATGTTCAAATCTTAATATATAAATTTGTTTAATTCTTTATAATTATTTAAAAATGAAATATTATTTAATTTTACTTACTTGAATTATAAAATATACTGCCAAAATACGAGTATAAATATAAATTTTTTTGCTGTAATATAAAATAAAAACAATATGTTGATTTTAAATACTTAATATTGTTTGTGTGATAACATACTTGTAATGATTATTATTATTAATTACATTTAATCGTATATTAGATGATAAACAGAAACACATCAAAATTCAATGATGTAGAAAAAAAATAGATGTATAATTGTTTATGAAATACATATATTACTTAAAATCATACCAGACCATGGCCGATTTAAGTCATAACTGCAACAAAAAGAATAAATCAAAATTTGAATTTTTATATTACCTATATGCAATTCTATAAAAAACAAAACAAAATTCATTTTGCAATTTAATTATTAATAATATTTATATTACCTAGACATAGAAATGATTCAATAAGGCAAAATTTGTATAAAATTTTATTTTAATTATATTTACTTATTATGGTATTTCCCAAATATATTCATACATATAAGTACTCAACCATAAATAAATTATATTTAAGTATAATATAACATTAACAACAGAAACAAGTATATAAAACAAATAAAGTTCCGATCCTGAAAAATTAAATGTGTTTGATACAAATAATAAAGTAATATATATTTGTAAAATACAAAAATGTATTACAAGTAAAAAAAATAGTTTTATTTTTTATGTATATCAATACATGTATAATAATAGATCTACTATTTATCTTGAATAGAATTTAATACCTTTTTATTATTGAATAGAATTTAATACCTTTTTTATCATTGCAAGTGCATATTGTAGCACATTTTAAAAATATAAATAAATCTTTGTTTGAAAATTTTTTATACATCCAATATTTTATATTCAAATTTTTATGTAATTTATAAATAAAAAAAATTAAACAATAAATATGCAAACAATATTTTTTTCCCTTTACATACTTATTTAAAATTTACTTATATAAAGACAAATTTTTTTCAATAAAATTTTATATATGAAGAAACAACAAAAATATAACAAAAGAATTATCAGTCATTTTTGCAAATATATCTTTCCTGATTAACATAATATATATGTATAATATGTATAATATAAAAAATATCTTAATTGTAGGTGATAATAAAATTTACAAATTCAATTTTGATAAAATTTAAATGATTTGGAGGTTTTACATATGACTAGTAAAATTTGTTGACAATTATTTACGATAATTAATACATTCGTGTGAATAACCATTTGATAAAATTAGTAAATAATATATATGATTTTATAAGTTGTATATAACAAACAATAATTTGATATGCCATCCATTATTCCATTATTCTCCAGTTTAGCGGGTCCTGATTCCTTTGAATATAAACACATAGAATGCTGAATGAAAGATTTAAAATAGTAGTTCCCCTTGATGAAATTTATCGTAGAACATTCCTACAACTGGCAGCTCCAAGAATCTAAAATAGTAGTGGTATTTGACAAGAAAAAGCAAAGGAACCAAGGTAAAATTGTATTTAGTATTGTTATAATAGTGTATATGTGTACGTAGACCATCATATATATATATATATATCATATTCTCTTGCATACATAATAGATAAAACAATTCATAAACAATAGAAACGAATTTTAGCTGTCTTTACAGCCATTATACTTATAATTTTCCTAATCCACTAAAGATAAATGTTTCATGAATGAACCAGTGAAACATAAATAATGACATATTGAAATAAGTATCTAAATGTTTTTCTTATGAATACATTGGTAAAGATAATTTTTAGTATTTTTAACGATAAATGGGAAGCATAATATGGGTATATTGTTGCAGATTCCCCGTTCCTGTTTCTGACCTGCTGCTTCACCTGCCAGTTTGAATTTATGTTACAATCAGGTGTTATGGAACAAAAATACATACAATAGTATAAGTAGAACACAAGTAGACATCATGTTAATATCATATTATAATGTGTTAAATTTCTGGCATTTCACGTTACTTAAAATTAAAACCATGAGTATCCTACAATATGTATATCTATGTATATAAAAAACACAAAATATTATAGTATAAATAGAACATAGTTGGTTCTAGTGGCATTTTTCAAAAGTTTATGGATTTTGCGAAGCGATCAACTATTGTAATTTTATTGTAAACAGTATATGAAGTTACAGCAGGCATTAACCGCATCCCGATGGGAAACTATCTGAAAACTATCTGAAATAAACAAATAATTATAATAAAACATATGAAGTGTATAAATATAAATATACTTTCAAAGGTGTAAAATATATTATTTTAATATTTAAATAAAACATTAAAATATCATAGATTTATCATTTTTATAAATATTTAATTCCCTGAAAGTATCAATAATTATCAGCATAGGTATGATATTTCCTTCTTCTTACACCATTGATTTTCAAATATAATAAATAGTAAATATCAAGCCAATATAAATATAAGTGATTGGATATAATAACATAAATAATTATATTGTATCAATATCAAATTAGTTTGTGTGTATTATAGAATATTCGGAAATATATATGACCTAAATAAAAAAGATATATTTTGTTTAGTCATAACTTGTTTTATACTTTAAATATTTATATATAAGAAGAAGTATATAATATATACAATATTCATGAAATATGAATTATTGTACTTGCTTTTTTATGAAAAAGATATATAATTTAAATGTTTTTTATTAAACTATTTTGCTCTTCATTTGTTAAGAATTAAAAAATAATCAATCTTTTTCAATTATCAATTCTACAATTTCTTCAAATTAATTTAAAATTAATTTAAAATTAATATTTATATCTTATAATTTCATGAATATTTTTCTGGATAATTTAGTAATTAGTAATTGCAAACATTTTAAATATAATTTTAATAATTATAATTTCATATAACTATATTTCATATACTTTAGATATTTTAAAATATTTAAAAATTATGTTTTTATTACACTCAACTTTACATTGACTTAATATAAATGAATATTTAGAAAAAATTGTATGATATAAAAAAAATAAAAAAAATAAATAATAATAAAAGCTCTTAAATCATTAATATTAAAATAATTTTAAGTAATTTAAAATAATATTAAAAAGTATAGATTTGAAAATAAATTTTATATATAGTCTCATCACATCACTAAAATAAAATTTCAATATCATACAATTTTCTAATTCATATTGTTTATTTACGATATGTAAAAATAAATACTTACAGCTAATATTTTTCCTGATGGAAGTTTAACTTTCTGTATTCGTTTGTGAATAAGGATAGTTCTGATAGCCCGTTGGGAAAGACGGATTTTGTTGACCGGTTTGTGGTTGTGTGGTAGATCCAGCTCCTGCTGCATAATAACCCGTAGGAGTTGAACTAGCATTTATTGTTGGATAACTACCATAAGTTTGTGGAAATGTATTAGGAGTCCCACTTGTTGGACCGGATTGACCTTGTATACTTTGTTGTATTTGTTGTTGAGCAATTTGATTGTTTTGTATTCCCAACTAACAGAAATAAAATATATTATTTTAATATTTTTTTACATTATAATCAATTGTATTAATTTTTTTTATAAATATTTTTAATCAATATACCTTGCCTGCTTTCATTTGAGCTTCTATGGCTTCTGCTTCTTTTATTTTACCAATACTTCTATAATACTCTGCCCATTGTGCACTATAATCGGCTTGACCGCCATTCTGTGTTGCTCCTGTCTGTTGTTGTTGTTGTTGTGTTTGTTGTTGTTGTTGTTGAGTAGATCCAGCAGCATTAGGTGTTGATGTATTAGATTGATTCTGTGTATTTCCTACACATAAAAATTAATTTATACTTAATTAATTTATACTTAACTTAAGTAATTTACATTTACCAATTAAATTAATTTTAATTATAATTATAATTTTATGAAGATATAAAAATTAATTAATTTTATTAATTAATTTTTATATCTTCATAATAGAAAATTTTTTACCTGATTGTTGATTGTGATCTTGTTTTCCTTGTTTTGCTTGTTGTTCGATCATATCTGCTTCTCTATGCATACCTAATGATCGATAATATTCTGCCCATTGTGCACTATAATCTGGTTGTCCCGTTTGTGGATTTACTTGAACAGGTGTTTGACTTGCAGTATCTTAAACATGATAAAATTAAATATATATATGATATATATATTTTTAATTATTATATTTATATTATCTTAATGTAAACATACTTGTATCAGTAGATTGAGGTTGACTTGGCCAGGCTTGATAAGCTGTTCCTGCATTCCATGTTGGATTATATCCAATTGCTCCTTGTGTACCAGTAAATGAAGTATTAGCTGGAGCCTTAGATTTAATTTACATTAATGAGAAATATTAATAAATAATTTCTTTACATTTTTTATATTTAAAAATTATATAAATTTATTATATATTTACCATGCCTAATTTTTCACTAAATATTCTTTTTGCATGTTCCACTTGTTCGGGATTTCCACGAATTATGAAAATTTTCTCATTTTCATTACTTTGATTTCTTCTATCTAATTCACAATGTGCTCCAGTTTGCTGATTTATTTGTTTAATGGTTTCACCACCTAAAATAATGAAAATAAATATTTAAATATTTATTAAAAATATTTATATATTAAATCTTATTTATATATTTATGAATATAATTTTACCTTTTCCAATAATGATACCACATTTTGAAGATGGAACAGTGAATGTCGTTTCTATTTTATCTTGCATAGGACCTCCTTGACGTCTATCCCATCCACCATATTCATTTGGATTTCGATTATTGCTAAATCCATTGCCTCTTGGACCACTTCTAGCTCCCATATTACTTCTACCATCATCTCTTCTCTATATAAATATTTAATAATAATATAAAAAAATACAAATAAAAATAATATGATTTTTATGAAAATTATTACAAAATGATAAAAAAAAATATATTTACCATTACACTATCAATAAGTTCTTGAATACGTTGACGCACTTGTTCTACAGCTTGATGCTTTCCAGATACTATACATTTTCTATCCCCAGGACCATCTTCTCGTCCTTGTTGGAATTGAACTCTTGCTCCAGTTTCTGCTTGTATTTTTTTAATCATATCTCCTCCCTTACCAATAACAACACCTACAGCAGCTCTTGGAACAAGTACCTAAAAATTAATAAATATAATATTTATTTATATAAATATAAAACAAATAGTTTTTAAATATCATGTATAGAAATTATTATATATTTGTAAAAACTATGTTATACCTCTACTCCATCAGTGGTTCCAGAACCATGATTAAAATTACTATCATTTGAGTAATTTCCACTCCTGTCACTCCCTCTTGAACCTCTATGAAACATTTGCATTTCTTTTTCAGCTATTAATTCATATACTAATTGTTTAGCATATTCAACCTTTTGAGGATCACCAGTTATCCTATAAAAAAAAAAAAAAATTTATTATTTATTTTAAAAATTTTATAAATCTTTTATAAATTTAAAAATTTTTTGCAACAATAATAACTTAGAGTTTATAATAATCCAATAATAAATTAGTTGGAAGTTTATAATAAATTAATTGTTACCTTAAAGGTTTTTCTTGTTCTTGTGAAGGGCCTTCTTGTATAACAACCATTTTTGCTCCAGATTTCTCTTGAAGTTGTTTTATTGTTTCTCCTCCTTTTCCAATAATTAAGCCAACTTTTGGTCCAGGAATCATTATTTCAACAAATCCTGGATGACCCATCATTCCTCCACTACTTCCACTCATATCGCCGATTCCTTCAGTTCTACTTCTTTGATTTACAATTGATAATACCAATTCTTTAGCTCGACTGAAACACACACAATTTAAATGTGCAATGTAATATTAAATAATGCTGAAGTTTGAATATAATCTATTAATATACAGTAATGTAATTTGTTTGCAACACATGATGTGATGTCTACTGTGTGCCAAGATATAAGTCATGAATGTCACATTATTTTTTGTTTGACAAAGAGTTATTTCTTAAGTGTATAATAAAATTAAATTTCATGTTAAAATGTTGTAGGCTTAATTATAAGCAGATTTAAATAAATAAAAATTCAATTTCTCTTCTTGTTGCGAATAACACGTCCCCATGCATATCCTATCCTCCTTCCTTCCTTCTTTCTCTCCATATCCTATTGAAAGCAAAAAACTATTAGTAAGTACAAAATTATTAAATTAAAAGCCACAACTTATTTAATAAATTTTCAATGAGAAAATATTCTGAAGCATATGTAAAGTCAAGTACGAGCCCGCTATTCGCATCCAGGAGCTAAGTAAAGATTCTGTAAAACATTTGAGAATTTCAATATGCAAAAGCATGTAACCTACATTTAAAAAATGCATGTTAACATGAAGTGATAGCATATGGAGTATACTAAACACACGCAAACTATATTTCACCAGTACTATTTGTGCTTAAAGCACATTTTCTAACAAATACAGTTAGTGTAGAAAGCATTATATCATATATAACAACACCACAACGTAAATTTTAAAATGAAATAGTTGATACTTTCAGGTGTTTCTAGAAAATTTTACAATGAAACTAGGTGGATAATTTGTTATTAAGTAAATAATAATCTAATCAATTTTTTATGTATCAAATATAAGGAGGATAGCAGGTTTGTTTTCCTGTACATGTGTTTATAATATATATACACATATATGTAGATATTTATATATATGAACATATATAATTCTTTTACTTTCACTCTCTTTGTGTATATACATATATACACATATATTTATATATATGTCTGCATGTATATATACATAAGTATATGCACAGATGTAAAATATATATTTTGCATTATGAGTGTAATCAATAAGTGCCACTTGACATAAACCACGAAGTAATCCTTTTTTCTAGGCAAAATTTTGTAAAGTGGAAATTGCATTGCATACAAAATAGTTAAAATTAACAAAATAAGAAGGGAAAAACAAGTTACTTGACAGCTTCTCGTGAACCAGTTAATGTGCAAACACGTTCAGGTAGCCCACTTTCTGATGCCATTTGTATTTTACATCCTGTTTCACTTTGCAATCTTGTTATCTGTTCTCCACCTCTGCCAATTACTGCAAAGATAGCATTGTTAATTATAATAATTCATTCAAAAATATTATAATAATTTAATTATATATTTAAATTAAAATAAATTTTATTTCTATATTCATTATTCAATATATATTATTAATACATATAATATCAATTTATCATAATATATATCATAATACATATCAATTATAAAATTTATACAAAAATGAAAATATAACAATATTAAATATGAAAATATAACATAATATTAAATTATAAATTAGAATTTATGTATCTTTATTTAAATTTAATAAATAAAAATTAAGAATATTTATATATTTTTAACTATATATTAACTATATATATTAACTATAAATTTTTAAGAAAATACATATATCAATATTTACTTACTCAGACCAACCATGTTATCTGGAACTCTGATATCTTCATTACAGATACCACCTACATTTCCTATTGGTCCTGATGAAGATCCTGCTTGTCCTGATCGTCCAGTTGGATTAATTGATTCCCCTAAAGAATTACTTCCTGCTGGGCCACGAAGTCCTATTAATGGATCTGACACTAATGATGCCATTTTTTTTGCCTCGGGTTCTAAAATCATAATCCCATATCAAAAATTTTATATTTATTTTTTATTTATTATTATTTTAAGAAAAAATTCTTTTACATGCACATTTTTTTTATATATAAAAAAATTATAATAATGTGTTAACATTATTATTTTATGTACATCCTATTTCTAAATTAATATACCAAATTTGATAATAAATTTTTATTACATACATATGTACATATGTATATATATATATAATATTACCTGATCCATCTTCAAGGGGACGTTTTAATTTAGCATCCTGATTATTTTGAGCACCAGCTGGGTTAATCTTTGCTGCTATCTAAACATAATCACATTGAAATTATGATTATTGATAGCTTATTATTATTATAAATTTAAATAATTAAATGAATTATAAAAGATAAAATTATTAATTATAAAATAATTAAATATTTAAATTTGATTAATTATTTTAATAATCATATAAATGTGTAAATTGCAATAAATGTAAATAACATAATTTAAAAAAAGAAAATAAAGCATATGTATATATACATTATAATATTATATACATATATATATATATATATATATATACATATACATATATATATATATTAAAATAGAATTTATTTCTTGTACTTTTCAAGTACATTAAACAAATATTAAAATAAAATATTATTCAAAAGAAATATAGTTATTAATACATTTATATTTAATTAGATATTTTTATTTGTTGATGATTAAAAAATCGACGTATGGTTTAACAAAAGTGTAAAGTGTTATATGGCCTACTTATAAAAATATCATTTAATTATAACCTATACCACATTGATTTAGCATATTTACTTACTTGTTTTGCACGTTGCAAAGCTGCCGCAAATGCGGAGCTTTGACTAAAATTTTGAGGCGGAGCAACCGCTGAATAGTCACTCATGATGGAACATGAAGCAGGAATACGAATAAAACTACTTCAATATTCCTTTTAGCAAACTGCTATTAATAATCAATACTGTTTATTTAACTCTAATATACAATATTTAAATTATATTTCACATAAAATACAAATATTTCAACAACCTGCTTTGAAAATACACAATTGTTCAAAGCAAAACTTTATGAGTGAAAGAACTGTGCTTTCACAGAAAGAACAATACAGCGCAAGCGTCGGTCATAGAATATAAAATTTTGAAGATTGGTAATTATTTCAGAATTGATAATATTTCAAATACATATATATATATACAGTATATATATATATACATACGTGCTAAAGAAGTGTAGAAAAGCAATTTTTTTCTGTAAAATTAAAATTTAAATTAATTTATTTATATATGTTTAAAATATATAACGAATATTATATAATATTTTGTATGTATTTATATAATTTTTATATGTATGTATTAAAATTAAGTTACATTATTAAAGTTAATTTATATCTATTATATTCATTTTTTGATTTTTTATGTAATATAAAAAAAACAAATTTAAATCTAACAAACTTAAAAGAAATATCTGTTTTAACTAAAATAGATTAAATTGAAAAAATTTGTTATTTTTTGAATATGTATTTATATATTTCTACTTCATAAATTTTTAATTCTATGCATAAGTATATTTCTATGTATATTTATGAACTAA